AACCGGCAACCTTCTTGCTGCTATATTACATTATATTATATAATATTATATTGGAAGTATGTAAGGATCCACTTGGTGTAAATTTTGTCATTGTCCCAAGTCTGCACAAACTCCTCAGCAGACATCAACGGTCAGTTTCCATGCACGAGCAGAATATGTCAGACATAGACGAAGCATAGTCTCTAAAGAAAACTATAAAGTAGTACAACAATAATGGTGTTAGCAGCTGTCCTTGTGCGCATACACAACGTTGTATGATCAAGGCCGGGAGACGTGAAAAAAACACTTTGCAATAAAATTTGTAAATCTATCTGCTACATAGTTTATGTAAAAGCCCATTAGGTATGTGCATGAATGGAGTATGAGCTTAATGTGCGTCCATTTAAATTCCGCTGTGCGCGCTCCGTATGCCTTTCCCAACTCACCGCATGTGCGTAAGAGCTGTAGGTGCTGAAGGGAAGGGCGATGGCTGGGTTAAAGATGCCAAACTGCCCGACCATCTGCTGCATACGTCTGATGGTGCGCTCCTTGTCTGTGTCGGCAAACTTGACCACCAAGCTGGAGGAAGCTCCCTGAAGGGGGTGAAAGGAACAGAAGTATTAGTCGAAAGACAAGCGCAGACACGTAAACTTTTCTGCAAACATCTCTTGCACAAACAGTCAGCGGATGTATTTATTTCTTTAAAGGCTTTTGTATATGTATGACTATTATGATTAACTACATATTTAGAGACAACTGGTAGCAAGAAAAGCCTTGAAAAGTCCAATACAAATGCATTAAGAATGGCATAGGTTAATATTTCTGATTTCTTAGTCTGCCATGTTCATTAGCAACAACAACTGCTGTTAACATCAATACCTAGCGAGCTCCTCTAATTGCATGTCAGGGATTTTTTTCCCCCCGTTCTGTTGATGCTGGTGTGTGTGTGTGTGTGTGTGTGTGTGTGTGTGTGTGTGTGGTGGTAGATGCGAGATCATTGCACATTTGTATTTTTGCAGGGAATCGTTCCTCCTTATTTTGTGGCTGGCATACATAAACATGAAACTATCAGAGCTACGTGAAGAATAAAAATACTCTACTTATTGAGCGAGCGGCTCTGTAGGCAGATGCGCAGACAGAAAGCCTCCGTTCTGTCAATCAGTGTAGCATATATACAAAGTCACTGGGGGCAAAGCAGCTTCATTGTGTATAACATAAATAGTTGATATTTTCCTCCGAGCTTTTCCCCTTCTTCTACAGCACATATATGTAACCTCAGAACTACTCGCCACAGTTGAGGTTAAAAGATGTGCAATGCACGGCGATTTGAAATGAGAGCTATGATGGGAAGTGGTTTCTTCTGACCTTCGTTAAAGTGGTCTTCAAAGAAAATGTTTCATTTTTAAGGCAATTTCTCTCATTCTGTCCATTATATATATTTTTTCCCAGCCTCCCATGCTTTTCAGTGGCTCTGGCTTTCCATCCCCTTTATCAACGCCATTACGTCTTTTTTGCAACCCAATAATGAAACCAGCAGGTGTGTCTGCCACACACCCTTCATTAAGAATCTTCAAATGATTTAGCGCTACAGTTGACCTTTTGTGTGCTCCGCCTCTCCTCCCCTCTGCGCCCCCAAACTGGCCAATCGATCCACATAAAAGGCCGAAATATTACTCTGATCTGACAGTGTAGAAAGGTTGTGTGTCAGTCACGATAAGAGGCCCCCTGAAATTGATGCAAGATTGTCAATAACAGTGGTGACTGGTGGAGTGCCGGGATTGAAGGTTGGGGCGGGTGGGAGGGCGTTATGTTTTTTTTTTTTTTTAGACGGATATTTCTGGGTTTGGATCCGTGGACCGCGGTTATAAATGGCATCTGTAATAAAAGATTATTATTATTATTGCATGATTCATTAGAGTTCTCCTTTCTGTGCATTTCTGTGCAGTCTCCCGCTAATAAAGATATCTGCAGACAGCAAAAGATGTTCAAAGACAGGCATTGGACCTTTCAACTGTAGCATATGGATTTTATGCTCCTCTGTTCCCTTCCTCCCCACTTTTCTCAATATTCCCCCTAGCCCTGTCCTCCAGGCTCGCTCTGCTGGTTGAATCACAGGCTTGAGAGATTGTAGGTGAGTGTCCAGCTGGTTAGCTGGCTGCCTGACTAAATGACTGATTGTCTAGTTAGTTGAGTGATTGACTGACTGGCAGGCCGGATGGTCCAACTGGACGACGGACTAATTGTCTTGACTGTCAAGCTGGCTGAGACCTGGTCGGTTGAATTGTTTTTGTGCCACCCTGCCGCACTGGAACACTTTTTCTATTTATCGAGAGCCTTGTGTTATTCTTCAACAAATACAGCAGAAACAAGAGAAAGAACAACATAATATAAAGACATAATTGCTGTTTCTCGATCTCGAGCCGCTTCAAGGTTAACTTTGACACAGTTGCAGGTTTTTGCCTGTTGTGTCTGTCCAGCTTTTAACTATCTGCATCATTAACCTTATTATGAGGTTTAACTTTGGGAGAGTGCAGGACGAGGCTGCACAGGACCAGAATACAGAGGAGATGCGCTGGTACATACTGAATATTTTAACTCCTTTTCACTGTTTAAAAAAAAAAAAAAAAAAAAAAAGCTATTAAAGGTCTACCATCTTTGGTAATGAGAGCTGCATGTTCCTGTTCTGCTTCTCTAGTTTTTGTGGAAGGGTGAGATTTATAATCTGAGGAGATTACCTTGGCCTCATTTCCAACTACAACAAGACTTGAGTGTGTCTGCTTGAGTAATAGAAACAATTGTGAATTGACCTGTCTGGTTATATAAGAGCCTTGCGCCATTCTGTTTCACACTCTTGCATGTATGTCCCGCTCCGTGCAAAGCTTTTTTTTTTTTCCCAAGGAGGTCTATACACTGAGATCTGCCCTCCCACTGGTTCTCCTTAGGAGACCTAAATCTTATGGCTTGTCGGCTAAGCATCCATTGCCACATTTGTTTATCTCAGAGGTTTTCCCATTTAGGCCTGTCAGGATATCAGCACGCAGAATCTCCATTGCTGTAAAGAGAGGAGGATGAAGTGTGAAGTGAAAGTCTCATTAAATTTTTAAGCTGCCAAGTGTGAGCAGAATCCCCCTGCCGGGCGGCTCCCAGCTGCCTAGAGAGCCACTGAAGGAAGGGGAGTTAAACAGGGAGGATAAAAAGGCACTACAGAGATTTAGAACCAAAAGGAAAGTCTGCCTCTTTATGGCTCCTTCTCATTGCCAAGGAGGGTTGTGTTGGTGTCCGTCCAAGCCGCACACCTTCATGTGGATAGAGGAGATACAGCTTCACACCTAGCTGTATGTTTCACATCTCTTTAACTTCAAACATATGCCTGCTTGCAGCAGAGCAGAAAAGTGAGAAGGAAGGCTCATCCTGTGTCCTGTATGGGGATTTTTAGTCATGCGAAAAAGCGAGTGCATTGGAAGTTATCGGTGTTTCTAGATAATATTAGGACAAACTGATATCTGATACCCATTTAAAACAATGCGCACACATAAAGGCGACACACTTGATCACAACTACAACCTTGGCCTCAGAAGCTAGCATGGCTCTCTCTAGCAGAATTAAGTTCTTGTAGGCATTTTGCAGAGTCTACCACTATCTCTGACATCAGATTGCAACATTTTCACCACTTTTCAATTCAAAATTCTTTCAACTGTAAGATGCTTAAGGCTTTTCTTGCATCATCTGTCCATTTTAGAGACCAATTACAACACGTCAGTGGAGTTTAAATCTGTGCTGTCTTTTTTTTTTTTTATATTGGATTTGCAACTATGTTTAGGATCATAATCCTGTTGAAAGGTCAACTTCGGGTTCAACTTTCGACCAGATGGCCTCACATCATTTTCAAGCGCACTTTGATACGATGCAGAGTTCGTAGTCGAATCAGCGACTTCTCGCTCAGTCTGTGAGGCAGTGAAGCAAACATAACATTTACACCACCGTGCTCCTGTGAGGGTTTTCTCCTGTCAAGCTTTCTTTAACATGTAAAGCGTGTTTACTGTAACTGTGAACAAACAAACCTATCTTTGATTTGTCTGTCTGGAGCAGATGATTCCGCACTTTGCATATATGTCAACTGGCAAACTTCAGTCGTGCTAGAGTGTTGTTTTTGGACAGCATTTCTTTTTCTTTTTTTGGGGACAAACTGTGACTAGAAGAGTGACAAACGTTATCTGCAGATTCTGAGAAAGTTGTGGGTTGTTGGAGATTCAGTTCTTGACAAACTGGCAGTTATTGGAAATCTACATCACTTGTGGATGATTTTCCTTCGACTGAAAGGATTTCTTTTAAATAATTTGGAGATAGTTTCACATCCCTAGCCAGACTAACTGACATCCACATCCTTCATGAAGGTCTTAGAAAACTCTCTAGATCTGGGCATGATGATACCACACATCTTGACAGCAGAGAGAACACCAGACCCTGTTGTTTTATTTGTTTGCATTATTTAAAAAGCCTAGAAAATGTTAATTTAATGTGTCATTTATTACAGTACATCACCTTAAACATTATGCTTTGTTTCAAAGAGGATCAAAAGTATGCTTGTCTAAATATGTCCATAAAGCCAACTATTTTTTATGATATATATTTTAAACATTTCTACATGACTGTAGCTGTGCTGGTTTTTATGGTGAAGACTTTAACGGTTTTCCCACCCTGTTGGGTCAGTGATGCTGTGATCATCCATTAAAGAACTAGCACAAAAACAGCTTCCAAGAATACTTGCTGTCTTTCTGATAAATGTTATTTCAGCGTCCTTACAACTCTCTAGATCACTTTGAATTTGTTCAACTTAGAAACGCGAGTTCCCTGCGGCCTTTAAAAAAAGAAAGTGCGTTGCCATTGTTAGAATTGTTTCATTGTTATGTAAAGACACAACTGAGGCTTAATTTATCATACATTAAAGATGCACATCAAGTTTTCACTATGAATGGATCTCTCGAGAGTTTTCCCTCTCGAACAATGCGTGCTGGAGAGCCTGCTAACTTGTTAGTTTTGTGTCATTAAACTCAGTTTAATGACTTGAGTGAACTCTTTCAGTTTATTCATTCGACTCGTCGTTTCAAGTCAAAAGACCTCAAGTTAGAACG